GCTCAATATTGGCCGAAGTTTTTGAGTTAGTTCGCAGGAAGGTAGGCATATCCACTTTTGTGAATCCATCGTCGTCCTTTCTGTCCTTTCATATTTCCCATTCCGCCATCGGCTTTTCACGGCCCGTATGTTTCTTTGTATTACTTCGCTGGGGTAGGCATTGCCGAGGAATATCCCCGTCAATTTGTCCAGCTCTTTGTCCCAGAATTCTACGTCCGTTAATCGTAGGCTTCGGATGATCATGCTCCTCATTATTCCAATTTTCAGTCTGTAGTTGTGATGGGACCGGAAATTTAGTATTATCCCTGCATAAGACTTTTTTCTGTACAATTTCTTTTTGAGCGTCCCATTAGAACGAATCACTTCAACGTCCAGTAACGGTAACCGCTCACCTTCCTCTATTTACTTAAGTGTGCGTATCTATGCCTCTGTGCTAACCTTTATATGCAATACTGGGCCCAGATCAGATTAATCTTAAATAGCTTATCAGACTCGGGGCATCAAGGCTTAATCATCCAAGAGAGATATTATATGGAATTACGTAATCCTTTATGGCTGGTTTGGTTGATGAGATTAATTTAAATGTTGTACGAGTGCGGATGGATTTAAAGCAATCACCGGGCCAATAGAATGAATCGCGTTTTAGATGGCGGCTTAACTCCCTCCTTCAAAGTCAGCTGGTTCCAACTGTCAAAAGTGGCCGAACACATAGAAGAGAGTCGATATGTGATAGTGGTTTCAAATGAGGTTTGCTGATTATGGTACGACTGCTGTTAAATACAAGATAGGATAGGCTATTGTAATTAAAATATTAGGGAATACGTTGAATTTGAGGAACGGTGGTAGAAGGTTGAGTAAGAACTATTTATCGTAAATATAAAGACTGATATAACGTGGATTTCTGTTTGGTTGCAGTCTCCTTTAGTTTAATAGTGTTTGCTTGACCACGTTTTTACAACGTAGTCTGGGGCAACAGGGAGACCTTGTGGAACGACCCTAATCCTGCGCCCTGTCGTATTCATGATTTCTATCATCGCACTGTTGAATGCGTACATTACCAGACGTTTCGCCGGCATCGTCAGAGGTTCTATTGCTAGCACAGAGCTACAACTTATCAGTGTTGTCACAAGCAAGGACAATTCCATTCACCAATTTTCCGTTCAACTGTTGTGGCATCGCCCCTCGCTCCTATTTTTGTCCTAACCTCGGGTACTACATCTCCTTCTTCCAACCCCACCTCATATCGTCCCTTTACCTATTCCCACCAGTCTGTTCTTTCGTTTCCTCTGATGTAGCTTCAAGTGGATTTGGTGAAACGTAATCGCCATCACCACCGGTTCCCGACGCCGTGTATAGAGCTTCTGATTTTCAGTTAACTCTCCACTCCGCTTATCAGTAGTTCCCTATTACACATGTCGATGTTTATATTGGTTGGTATCCTTCCTAATCAAACATGTCACCAGTCACATTTCATTAAGGCGCACGGAACATATGCATACAGGCACAAACACGTACAATGAGGACCAATAGATATTGTACTCCACAGGTGGGTTACAGCATTCTGATGAATTTGATAGAGCCCTATATTTTTAACCTAGCACATCTAATAGTGTACAATATGCATGTTTCTAGCCTTTAATTTCCAACCCCACATCCCACAGGTGGATCCAGACCAGAAACTTTTCAGGCTGATTCTAGATTTGACTCTTCTTAATACAAACGCCTTTTTTTGACTTCCATTTCCCCTCATCATCCTCTTTTACGCGATATCTCTTCATATGATTAAATAGATCCCCTTTGTCCGAGCGTATTCTTTTAGCTTTCATCACTAAATATCCACGTCTGGCTAGACAGCATGCTAAATTCTCACTGACTCTTCTATCTTCACTCTTTCACTCTCCTGTTCGTCATGTTTCTTTGAAAGAGTATTTATATGACCTTCCTAATCTTGCATTTTTTGCTTTTCTCATATGAAGCCCGTCCTTCCGTTGCATAACCAGTCAGGGAAATGTGTTCAGCCATCTACGATCGTTCTGTATCACTGGTGTTCTTGAATCCTTGTGTTAATTATCCTTCCCATCTCTGCAAAGTCAAAAAGTGGAGTGCGCCAGGGTTTATAGCATATACCATAGACTGGAAACCAAATTATATAATAGGCAGGAAGGACAATCAGGCTAAGGATCAAATAACAGCCGAGACCCTGCAGAAAAATATATACGGAAAGGACATAGCTAGCTAAACATAGTGCTCTGACCGGTCATACAGCTAACGAGTGCAACGGAAAGACTGGTAATGCACCGAAGGTCAGGTGCTGGAAATTACCATAAATATATAAAAACAGAGGGCACAGGACCAGGTAAATTTCACAATGTCTACCTGTTCCCCTGACCAACTTGCAAAAATGAGGTTAAGCCGACACTATAAATATAAAGAGGACTGCGACCAAACAAAAGGCTACACCATTGTAGTCTACACATCCATAATAAATAGTGTACTCAACTGTCAAATGTCACTTAAATTCAACGTATTCTATAATCTATTGAATACAATAGCATATAATATCTTATTTTTAACAGCAAACGTACCATATGAGATCCTTATAGCGTATATCTACTCTGTCATATGATCAGCCACCTCTGACTGTCAGACACAACTGCCTTCGAAGGAGAAAGAGTTGAGCCGCGACCTAAAGGACAGTTCACTTTGTCCGCCCGTTGATTGCTTTAGCTTCATCTACATTCGTACATTTAAATTAAGCTCATCAACCTAACCAGTTTCAAGAAAATAAGCAATTCCATATCATGCCTTTCCTTGGATCATTGAGCCATAATGCCTATAGAACAGATTATGACAAGTGGTTTCGTAAACTGATTTACACGCGTACAAGCTTACATCTCAGAGTAAATCAATTGGATCGATCTGTAGTGTCTGGCATTATTCTGATCTAGATAATGGTAGAACAATGAAAAAGTGGAACAATAATACTCAGCAAAAAGTCCTCTAAAAGAATGCCGAAACGCTATATGAAAGCAAAATGTGTCAGTAATGCATAATCGATATTAAATAGTGTTATCAAATAGTTAGGTAAAGGATATTCAATTCAGAAAAAAATAAACCCAATAAACAATTCATACACTTTGGAGCCAACCTCCGACCGCATTTACATTAGTGTAGCAGAGAAAATTCACATGAGGAAAATAATGGAAAAAATAAACCACTTTGTGACATATGCATAACTTATTTTGCATAAGTGATGTTGGCTTAAAAACTTTAAAGTAAATAGTATGATCAAGACACATGATTACTTAATAAGTGGTTTCTTTTATATTTATGGTAATTTTAATAGCACAACCATACTATCAAGTGTTCCTGTCTGAAATATTTTACTAATGGCTTTCCTTACTTTTCCACAGCCACATTAAATATAAAGGCAGACAAAGAAACATTTACCTAATCAAAATGAGATGTTCTGACGATATCGTATGGACAAACTTGTCGAATTTCATGATAAATAGTGAAAAAAATTGAATTTTTAAATTAGCGATAGTTATGCTATATTGTCTACCTGAGGAAATTGAGTTGTTTTGCCGCAACCAGGAGGACCCGCAATCAGCACAATAGGATTATTAATTATCGCAGAAATTATCTCTTCATATTTGCTATATAAAGCTGAGTACTTGACATCCACTTTAACAGCATTCAACTTGTTATTTGTTGTAGCAGATAGGTTTGAAGATGCCGCAGGGGAATCTATAGTTTCTCCAGTTACTAAAGAAAGTAATGAAGAAATGAGATGAGTTGGAGGTATTTGTGGTACAGCACCCATTAAACGACCAGTGGTATTCCTTTGTCTTTCTTCTCTGACACCTTAATAAGCTCGATAAGAATTACGGTTAGTAAAATGTGACGCATACCTCTATCAAGAGAAGAAAGATTTTCAGTCCGTGGCAAAAGATCTACTTTTTCTTTTGCTGACAGTGGATTCGAATGCAGTATTTGGGATATAAGCCTCTGACTATTCCAAGTCAAACTTACATTTACAGTACTCTGTAACATGCCGGTACGGCCAGATATTAACTGAAGACACTTATATATTCCATTCCTAGGGTAATATAAATAAGCCATTACCCGTAAAGTCTATAACTTATGCCAAATGCATTAGCCAGTAGGCGAGCGTATGACCTTTCTCGAGCAGTTAATGAACTAGGAAGAAGTAATGTTTTCGAGGATGGTTCACGAACGAAATGCGCAATAGTTATTACAAGCGCCTTCTGAATTTCCTCGGGAATTTGGAGAAAGGGCTCTCCTAACGCTCTAATGAAAGATTAAGATAAGCTTCAAAGTACCCAGGTAGCATAATTAGAATCGACCTCTGCTATAAGTGAAATGTAGATATAAGATAAGTAAAACAAAACAGTTAAAATTGCTAAAAGCGTTATTCTTTAGTTTACGCAGAACATGAAAGTCCTGACATAGATCTTGTTAATCTTATATAGACTATTTTGTGGAGAATTTTCTATTTAATCTTTAGTGGAAATCAAATTGCATGATGTGTGATGAGTAATGCACGCTTATATGTTTTGTTCATACCCAAATATTTTAGAGCCCGAATATTTTAAAGCCCAAAAATTAAATGATTTCAACAATACATAGATACTTGGGTTTTTAAGTCATATTACTGCCTTTTTTATAAATTCATTGGTATGTCTCTCTGAGATTCTTTAGAATTCTACTTCTGACTATATTTTCCACATTCTCATCGAGATTGTATTTCTTCCACCATACTAGACTTTCTCCTATTGTTTCACAGGAGAGTATAGATAGTGGATCGCTTGTACAAGGTTTTGTGTTGGCTAATAATTGTTAATCGACTTTTCACCTAGCACACTGTCTAATTTAGTAGATCTCTTCTGATGGCTGGCCAAATGCTACACTGCACGCTAAGAGTCCGTTACATATTAAATGTAGCTAAAATAATACTGCTAGTTTGCTATATTGACAGATGTGATAAAATTTGAGGAATCCCTAGTTGTTTATAATTTTGACTACAATGATACTAGCTGTATTCAACCTATTCCTTTTATGATGTGAAGGACTGGTAGTTGAATTTTCCACGATATTATAAGTAAGTCTCACTTTTACAGTGATGTTTACACATTCGTGCTTCCTAAAAGGTATTCTTATGCAGGGTGCACTCCAGTTACGACTTCGAATGGGTCTCATCAGCACCCTCAGCTGGATTCTAGCCCGGTTAATGCGGCGTAAAATCTCGACACATTAATCGATACATCCCACTTCCATGAATGCTCTTGGATCACTGCGCATTTGTAATCCAGTATAGCATATAGGATATTATTAGAATGTGATTCTGAAAATGTTATCTATTCTGAAGGCCTGCATTTATGCCTACATTCCTAAGAAATAAAATTTCAGAAGTATTTAAATCTAGGAACGAGATATAAATATGGAAGTTTTAACTGCATACGGATTATTAAACTTGTGATTGTTTTAATTTTCTTCTAACCGTTTTATTACATCATTGTCATTACTCCGATCATATTGTTTGACATAAAATCCTAATCCTATTTTATTACATTTCTAGGGTTTTACCTAATCGCTGTCTAGTAATTTTAATCAGTTTCCATTAGAAATTTCATACCATAGCTTTAGCTTGTTTAATCGAGCCGAAACTTATATGACTTTAAATCAATGGTCGAAGCATAATTGCCCAGTACATTTTTCCGAATGACCTAAAACATCTGACTAGGTTAGTAAAACGATACTTGCTTAACCGATGCTTATAGCTAAGACAAGGTAAAATTGTGTTTACCTAAACCGCCATCCAGCTTAAGAATCCAGGCTTGGTGTGACACAGTATACTTAGTAGCAAAAGTTTGAGATTGATCATACGAAAAAACGCCTGAATAAACAGATATATCGTGATAGCGACCGAACGGTTCATCATGAAATTGATGGCGACGCTGACGGGAGATTGCAAATTTAAAGGGCCAAATCGAATCATCAATTACAGGACAGGCAGGAGAGGATGCGTTTATCGAGCTCAAATCAAACCAGCGAAGGGAGATTGCGACTAAAATACATATGGCACAATCGTAGCCATCATACGTTCGAGAAAAACCTGTATACTTGATTCAAAAGGTCATATTAATACTAAAGGCCCCTGATGAATGCCAATCGAATGAGAACAGTGGCATCAGTCTGCCTACGTGCCTTGCGCTAGTGTGCCCTCCGATACCCGTGGAAAAACGTCCAATACAGTTAGTAAGGGCATGCCGCTCTTGAACGGCGTAGAGGACAATTAATATCTGTGGCGAAGGCTAAACTCCTCTGAGATAATCGAAACATGAGTATAAGTCTCTGAATAACTGTGCCGCTTGCTTGTTTCACACGC